GGTCGTCAAGTCGTTTGGAACTGAATAAATATTAAAATAAGAACTTGAAATACCTCCAATGACCACCTAAATTCTTCTCACCCTTAAAAAAGAAACTAAGTAAAAATATTTGAGGTTTTCTGCTTAAGTGTTTTTAGATTTTAAAGTTCATACAAAATGGCCTGTAATGAAGTTTCTTAGAATAAAAGTAGCATGTAAGCATCCTGTCATGGCATTTTTTTCCTCTTCTTTAGTTTCAGCAGAAAAGTCATCCTTCATCCTTTCAAAAAAAGTTAATCCTTTCTCATTTCTGTGATACATCCTCCTATTTTCTTACCCAATGAATTTCATTCTCCAGTCATTCTTTTCTTCCATTCATCCTCCGAAAAGGCATTTTATAGGTAACTACCATAGGACTCTGGGTTAGGCTGGCCAGAATGTTAAATCAGTGTGCTATTGGTTTACAACCCACTTGGGAGCTTCCTGATTTAATCTGAAATTGGCCCCTGTATTCAGGGCAAGGAGAGACTGGGGCTGGGGGTGGGGGTGGGGGGGCAGGCAAGCCACTCCAGGTTGGTAGGTGGGAGTTTGAGTAATCAAAAGGAACTTGCGTATAAGGTTTGTCTTGTGTGGCAGCAAAACAAATGGATTCCTCGGTCCACCTCAAATCTTCTAAGTTAATAAAGAAGCCCTAAAACTGCTCAGTCATGTATACTATGCAGGTTTTTTTTTTTTAACACCAAATCATCATCTCAAGGCTATTTCCTGGGGGTGGGAAAGGGAAGTGGAAGTGGAACCCACATTCCCACATTCTAAGGACAGGGAAGGGTGGTTAGGAGTCTCTGAGTATCATGGCCCAGCATCATGTTTTTTTTGATAATGTTCCCCAACATGTGTTTAATGGCAATTAGGCAGACAAGGGTAGTACTGACAGTAGCAGGAAAAATAAAAAGTAAAAATTAAAAAAAACCCACTTGCCTTGTCTTTTTCTTACCTTCCTATACTGTATAATGAAAGATAACTTTAGAATAATGTTGCATTCCTGAAAAAATAATTCTCCAAGGTAGCTTCACAGTTTACTATGCAGTAGACATCAACTAACCATGTTGAAATTAACTTTATCTTTTTCAAAAAATATGTATTTAACAAATACCTTACTAAAATGCCTCTTTTTGTTGATATAAAAAGAAAATTATAACTAATAATTTTGATAGTTTGCTTTTTCAAGTACTTCTAATATCACAAATGCCTGAGCCATTGTCTGACTTTGAAATTTTGTAATATACCAGTAATTGAAAAGAATAAGGCTGAAACTAAGGACTATGTGGTACAAGGGTAGAGGGAAGGCTTTAACAAAAAGGAACTTGTTTTTTAAATGATAATCATTCACATACTAATATAAACATTTCTAAGCCAGTTACCCTAGTTTTTGACATACTTGTCATACTTTCATGTATTGCTTGATCCCTAAATGTGACAGGTATGGAGTTAGAATGTAGAGTTGGTCACAAAGATGGTCACCTGGTTCCCATTTCTGAAGGCACTCCCAATCTGCAGAGAGACAGTAAAATAAGTCGGTCTTTAAAATCTATGATGTTAACCCAACTTTGGAACCCAGCTGAGAACTGGAGCAGAATTGGCTTTCATGGTGCTGCCTTCCTCCAGAATGAGAATTCAGCTATTAAAGGGCATTAGAATGATATACAGCACTTAGGGGGAAGTAATCTTCTCTCAAGCTTTTATATTAAATAGTGTTATTCTCATTACTTTGGGATGGTTTTGCTGTCCACTTTTAAGGAAACAGGAGAATAGATTAGATCATAAAGCTTCTTTATTTTCATTCTAGGATTACATAAAAAAGAGCAAAGCCTTGTTTGTAATGTCTCATTAGAAGATTTGAGTTGAATCTTGAAGATTGAAATTTTAATCCTTTATACTAAATTACTGAAAAGTGCTGTAAGTAAAAGAAAGTTCTGTAACTGTGTGTGTGTGTGTGTGTGTGACACCACACGTTATAAAACTGTAAAATATACTTCAGAGAGAATTTTTTATCCTTTCATAGTTAATTGTCAAGTTGGTTTCCATATAACACCCAGTGCTCATCCCAACAAGTGCCCTCCTCCAAGCCCATCACCCCCCTTGCCCTCTCCCCGACCCCCATCAGCCCTCAGTTTGTTCTCAGTATTCAAGAGTCTCTCATGGTTTGCCTCCCTACCTCTCCCCAACTATTTTTCCCCATCTCCTCCCCCATGGTCCTCTGTTAAGTTTCTCCTGTTCCACTTAGAAGTGAAAACATATGGTATCTATCCAGAGAGACTTTTTCAAGTATTGTTGGTTTTTGTGTCTGTAACAAATTTTTTATGATAATGGTTTAACAATAGTTTTTCTGTGATTTCTACAAAAATGTGTTTTGGTAAATCCTTTGATTTAAGACCTCAAATGATGTAGCTCAAGAATGAATTATCTCGTAATTATTATAGTACTATAGTAGATTTGATTTCAAGTCTCAGATTATACCACATTTCTTCCCTCCCCCCATAGAATACAGATTTACCTCCAAAGCTAGTGGCTTTCTATCTGAGGATAGAAAGGGGCTTTCCTTTCACTTAGTTGTAACTTGTTTTCTCTCTGTGTCTATTTTGACTAAAAACTAGGGACAGTACATTAAAGAGGTAAAAATGCAGTCAGCTGGATTTCTCTCCCTAGTTTGATTTAATGGTTACAGGAGAATCAGTCTGCTATGGGGAATACTACAGACTCAAGTAACTCTGTAGTTAGAGACACTTCTCAGCAAATTTGGAAGAGGAAGCATTCCATGTGGATCCTGGGGTGGTTTGCTTTTATACATTTAGCTGGGAGGAAATCTGACACATGGACTGAGTCAGAACCTGGAATATGGCTGCAAGCCTCCAGTTCATCTACCTAGAGTGTGATTACTCTCCTCCCCATCTGTTTATGGGGATACCCCAGTCACCTTTTCTATCTTCTGTACCCTTGTTTTGATAGATGTTTCCTAGGATTAAAAATGTTTTCTGTGTGTGGCTTTCTCAGTCTCCAATTAAAGGTTTACAAAACTGAAAGTTAAAAATACCAACTTCTCTGCCAACAATGGAAAAATTTTTACAAATTCTATTTTCTGACTAATAGAAATAATTTTGTATTTAATCTTCGCTCAGCATAATCCATATTTCATCACCTCTGTGTATATAGGCACTCCTTCATAAGTGGTAGAATCCTGGAGTAATGTGGATTGTAAATTGCTGGGATGGGGATGGAGAAACTTGGGGTGAATATTCCCTCTCACCCTACCAAATCTATTCAGACACAATGTGACTGCCATTCTCTATCAAAGTCACTCTGCTTTGTGGCTATACCATTTTCCTTAGGCATTAGTAGTCCAGAAGAGGTCTGCTAGAAACATATTTTCTAAGTATGGTTGCAGGTCTTCTGTTTAAAGTAGAAGTATTAGGTAATTCTGAATCTGGGAAATTGTGCAAGAGGCAAATAGTACTTTTCAAAAAGTCCATAACAGGAAGAGGAGAAAAAAATGTCATTGTTCTATTAGATCGAATGAGATCTGAATGCAAAATCAACTTCTGCGTTTTCAGTGTGTATCCTGTGAAGTAAAATTGCTGTCGTATTTTCAAGACTTATAGTGCAGATACTACAAGAATAAAATAATGCATTTTGTGGTAATTGGTTTCAAAATGATTAAAAGAGGCTTTCACTTGATAGAAAGAATATAATTGAATATTATTTGAACATTATAGGTCTAGCCATATGACATCTTTTGTGAAAATTAATGATTATTAGTTTTCCAGACCATTAAGTAGAGGCTGGAGCAAAGATCAAAGTTGTTTTGTTGTGAATTTTCTTCCTCATGAACTTTGGTGCCTAATATAATTATCCCCCTTTTTAGTGATGGCTTGAAGAGAACTTATTAACTTCATGAATGACTTCCATTAGAGATTGCCAAGCTAACGGGCAGGGATGGAAAGCTGATGACTTAATTCTTCCTCCCACCATTTCATATTAAATCGTTGCTTTCCGAAAGCTCACACCATATTGTACATAATGCTTAATTATAGGGTTATGACTAGGTTAAATGAATCAAAAAGTTTTACCCAAACCAGTTAATTATGACTCTTTCTCTTCTTGCTGAAAGAGCAGGGAGTGATGCACACCGCAAAATCTGGGGGAGAGAATTTTACCTACTCCTTTCTCCCTGAGTTTATACCAGAATTGCCCTGTTGGTAAATTAAACATAATTATTTCATTTGACTTAACACTTGTAAAGTGTTTATATATTCTCTTTAGATATTATGAAGTAGGTGTTAGAAACCAAAGGTTCCCACGTTCCTTAACAGTTTCTCATTGTACCAAGAGTTCTGTAAACATCAAATCTGTTGAACATAGAAGAGTTGCTAGGAAAGGACATTAACTTATTATAAAAAATAGCACTGAAACTCTGTTGTTTTAATGTGCTTTTTTTTTAATAGAACTGTTTTTGGTAACAGATTCTTCAGAACCCAGTTATAAAGCAGACAGTCAGAATTGCAGTTCGTGAACCAGAGGCGCCAGGTGGAGAGTTCTACCTGCCAAGCCCTTCCTTACCCAGTGAAGACTCTTTGGGAACTCCAGCGCTTTTCAGAACAGTTTGAAACCCATTAGGCAACATGATTCTCGATAAGCCTTTCATTCTAGAGCCTATGATTACAACGAGCAATTATGTTTACATGTTATTGGCTCTGTAGTCTGCTTTACCCCTTGGGTAATTGATGGGATATCCTCAAAGTACGGTGATATTTGGTAAATGGAAAAAACAATACTTGAGGAACAAAGTGCCAATCATGGAAGGCAGAGAGAAACGTTGGGTGGTAAATAGGGAGACATAACAGGAGCTACTGCTCTTCTTCAAAGGTTATTTCTCTAGTCTCCTTTCCTTCCTTTCTTATGGACAGTCACTATAAAAAAAAATCTCAAACTCTTCCAGGATATGTTAAATTTTCCTATCCATTACTAAAATGATGCCATACTACATAATTCTGTCTTCCTTACAAGAGGCCCTGCTAATTTTCTCGGTATCATTCCCATTTTACTATATGTGCTGTCGAAGCAAGCACTCCATACTAGGTGATTCTGCAACTTTTTAAACTCCATGTTAGGTTCTTAAAAACTACCCACCTTGATCCCAGTTGGTCTAATTAATTCAATATAATGTATTTCACTATATAAGCATATCAAAATTCTGTTAATATGGGATACTATAATCATATTTTTCCTATTACAAATAATGCTGTGGTAAACAACTTTTAATATGTAATCTATGTAAGTGTAAGACTTTGTTCATGTCATATACTGAAAAATTTGTTGGGCAGTAGGGTGAGAAAATTTCAACCTTCCTAGAAACTGATTGCATTTCACAAGTGGTCATACAAGTTTTTAACAGTACTTCATGAAACTTTCCATCCATAAGAACATGACAGTCTCAGATATTTCATTTTTCTCCATTCCAGTGGTTGTGAAATAATATATCCATGCTTAATATTAAATTGCAAAATGCTCATAGCTGAAGAGTTTTAGCACCTTATCCCATGTTAATTTCCTGTTAGGAAATGCAGTTCAACATGAAATTTTTCTACTGGGTTGTTTTTCTTCAAATTCTTCCATGGAGGCTAAGCTAATCATCTGCTGTATGTTGGAAATGGATTGTCCTGCTCTTTAGTTTCTTTACTTCTGATGTGATAAATGTATTATTCCTATTCTTGATAATTTATGCTTGGTGTTATGACAATATATAAATGAAATAACATAACACACATATACATATGTGTATGTGTATATTTAAATTAAGAAATAACTACCTGTTTTCCAAAGTGATCATAAGATTCTATATTCTCAGGGTAGCAAGTTTGAGTTGCTTCACATACTTATCAACACTTGTTATTGTCAGTCTTTAATTTTAACCATTTTGCGGTATATGTCATAGTATCTAATCGTGGTTTTAAATTTTATTCCCCCAATTACTATTGATGACATATATCTTCATTGTACTTTTTGACTGTTCATGCATTTTTTTTGTGAAGTATCTCAGCATATTTTTTGTCTGACTTTAAATTGGGTTATCTACTAGTTTAGTTATAATTTTATAACTAAATGAAATTTATAAATGTAGGTATACTTCTATAACTAAGTATACATATATACATATATGTAAATGGTAGTCCTAATTTAATGGTTTTGCTCAGTTTGTGCCTGTTTATTTTTCATGGTGTCTTTTAAAGCAGAGAGCTTTTAGGTTTTGATTAAAAATAACTCATTTTTAACACAAATTTTTAAATTGCTTAATGAAAAATGTTAGAGGCTAACAGGATTTTGAAAAGATACTATAGAGATCAAACGTACCCTTCATTCAGTTTCCCCCAAAGGTTAGGTGTTAAATAAGTAGAGTACAATGTAAAAACCAGGAATTTGACACTTGTACCGTGTGTATATGTATTTGGCATTTTGTCACATGTAGATTGTGTAACTGTCACTGCAATTCAAATGCAGAACTATTCCATCATGCTTTGTGCTATCCCTCTGTACTCTCTCTGACCTCTCCTTTCCCTGTTGAACCTTGCATAACACCCTTGGGAACCACTAATCTGTTATCCATCTGTATAGTTTTACATACATGGAATTATAAAATTTCTGTCATTTGTATACCTTTTGTCAAGGTATACAAGATTTAAGATTAAAGATTTAAGATGTTGTATCAGTATATTTCTTTTGCTGATTAGTATTCCTTGATAGGGAAGTATCACAGTTTAACTTTTCACCTATTTAGGAACATTTTTATTTCCAGTTTGGGGCTATTAAAATAAAGCTGTTAAGAACAGTCATTTGTAAGTTTTTGTGTGGATGTTTAATTTTTTTAGAATAAATGCCTAGGAGTGACAATGCTGGCTGTATTCTGGAGGTACATTTAATTCTTTAAGAAATTATCAAACTATTTGAGAGTTACTGTATTTTATTTTTTAATTTTTTACATGTTCTTTATTTTTGGGGGGAGGGAGGAAGGGAGGGAGAGAAAGGGAGAGGCAGGGAGAGGAAGAGGGAGACAAAGAATCTGAAACAGGCTTCAGGCTCCTAGCTGTCAGCACAGAGCCCAACGCAGGGCTTGAACTCAGGAACAGTGAGATTGTGACCTGAGCTGAAGTCGAATGTTCAACCAACTGAGCTACCCAGGCGCCTGTGTCCCACAGACAATGTATGAGAGAGCTGGTTTCACTGCATACTTTCTAGATTTTGGTATTGGCAATGTGTTATTTAACTTTTCTAAAGGTAGATAGACACATTTTATTATGCCTCCAGTTGGTGTTTCCTGAATATCTAGTGCTACTAACATCTTTTGATGTACTTGTCATTCATATGTCTTCTTCAGTGAAATGTCTCTACATCTTTTGACCATTTTCTAATTGTGTATATAAGGTGGTGGTTTGCTGTTGAGATTTTAGAGTTCTTTAGCAATCACAGATAGTAGTTTTTTGTTGAATATATGGTTTGCAAATCTTTTCCTTCAATTGGTAGCTTTTCTCTATATCCTTTTCACAGGTGCTTTGCAAGATAAAAAATTTTAAGATCAAACTCCCGACTTTTTTCTTTTTTGATCTCATGATTAAAAACTCTACTCCAAGGTTTTTGTCTTGGGCTTTCTCCTGAGTTAAGATTTTTATAATCATAAGTTTTATATTTAAATATATGGTTAATTTTGAGATAATTTTTGCATAAACTATGAGGTTTAGATTGAGGATGGTGTTTTTGCTCATAAATATCCAGCTGTTCTAGCGTCAAGTGTTAAAGTCTATCCTCCACTGAGTTGCTTTGCATCCTTAGTAAAAAAATGAGTTGTATGGGTCTTTAACTGGATTCTCTATTCTGTTTCATTAATCGTTGTTTCATTCTATCTACTGATATCACAGTCTTGACTATAAAATAAGTCTTGAAAAAGTATGTACAATTGGAGATGGTTGGCATTTTTGTGTCTCAAGATTTCCAGTTCATGGTACACATTTGCATGTATTAATACTTCGATTATTCTCATCACTGTATGGTGGGCGTTTAAGTCTCTCACAAAAACTGTGGGTTTGTCTTCTTTTCCTTACAGTAACATCCGGTTTTGCCTCCCAATGCTTTGCAGCTCTGCATTTGGTTCATGCTCATTTTGGATTGTTATGTCTTCCTGGTGGATTTATTTTTATGTCCCTATACAGTTTGTACCTTAGTTTTTATTGTTTGTTTTTCTTTTTTGGTTGGTTTTTGTTGTTTGGGTTTTTTTGTTTTTTTGCTCTAATGTCTACATTGTCAGATATTAGTTTAGCTATTACTCTGTTCTTCTGGTTGTTTGTATAGTATATCTTGTTCCATTTATTTACTATTAGCATGCCTATATCATTGCATTTGAATTGAATTCCTAAGCATATAGTTAGGTCATGGTGTTGTTTTTTTGTTTTTTTGTTTTTTTTTTAAATTTATTTCTAGGAGAGAGAGAGAGAGAGACAGCGTGAGCAGGGGAGGGTCAGAGAGAGAGGGAGACACAGACTCTGAAACAGGCTCCAGGCTCCCAGCTGGCAGTCAGCACGGAGCCCGACGCGGGGCTCGAACCCACGAACCGCGAGATCATGACCCAAGCGAAAGTCGGATGCTTAACCGACTAAGCCACCCAGGCGCCCCGGTCATGGTGTTTTTTATCCCTTCTGTTAAGGTTTTTTTATTTGCTAAACTTACTTTAAGTTTATGTACTTTGAGAGAAAGCACACACAAGCAGGGGAGGGGCAGTGAGAGAGGGAAAGAGCACAATCCCAAGCAGGCTCTGTGTTGTCAGTGCAGAGCCCAACACAGGGATCATTCCCACAAACTGTGAGGTTGTGACCTGAGCTGAAATCAAGACTCAGATGCTTAACCAACTGAGCAAAATAGGTGCCCTGTTTATTTGATAAATTTAGATCATTTACACTTAATGCAAGTAGTATTTTGTAAATGTTTATTTTTGAGAGAGGGAGACAGGGGACCTAAAGTGGGCTCTGTGCTGACAGCAAGAGACCTTGATGTATGGCTTGAACTGACAAACTGAGATCATGACCTGAGCCAAAGTCAGACACTCAACTGACTGAGCCACCCAGGCACCCCTAATGCAATTATTGATAAGGCTTAAATGTGCCATTTTATTCTTAGTCTTCTGTTTGTTTTCTTTGGGTTCATTCTCTAACTTGTCTGCATTTCTATAGGTTATGTGTAAATTTTAAATTTGAGTGTATCTCTTTGTATAGCTTTTTTAGTGGCTACTCTAGGTATTAAATTATGTTTAAGTATTTTATTGCTTTCTTAAAAAATTGCCACAAGCGGAAACACAAATTTTTTTCTTAAAATTCTGAAAGTGAAGAAAGGTCTGTTAAAGATTGACTGGAATAAAGCCAAGGTATCAGTACAGCCGTATTCCCTTCTGGAGGCTTAGCGAAGAATCTGTTTCAGTTTTCCAGCTTTTAGATGTAAATGTTCTGTGAGCTAAAAAAATGTATGTCTACTTTCAAAACCAGCAACTCTGTATTGAGCTTTTTAGTACCGCATCACTCTGACTTCACTCTGCTACCTACCTCTTCAATATTAAGGATCCTTCTGATTACACTGAACCCACCAGATAACCCTGGATAATATTCCAATATTATAGTCAGTTCATTAAAGTTGCAGATAGAATTAAGTTTGCTAATTTCTTTTTTCCATGTTAAATAAAATATTAAGGTTCCAAGAATTATAACATGGTTGTCTCTGGGGGCCATTAATTTGCCTATTACATATTACATATACAAAACTGATCAAGTCTCCTGTTGTATACATTTTCCTGGTTCAAGTCCAGTGCAAAAACCTTCTATAACACTGTATCCTTATCCCCTCACATTTAAAGTAAAATTGTCTTAAATGTTTCCTCTGTATACTTTAATAACCAAATCAGATAGTGTTAAAATTTTTATTTCAACCATCAAACATAATGCAGAAAACTCCAGAGGACAAGGAAACCATATTATATAAATACATAGTTTTGCTTTTAACATTCATTCTCCTTTCCAGATGTTTCAAGATTCTT